AAACCCATGTAACTGTGTCCCTTCATCGTCACTCCATCGTCTTGTGTTGTACATCCACCGTTGTATGCACTTTGTTATATTACTCAGTTCATTTTCGTCGTGTTTTGGCTTGTAATTGGAGTGGTTTTGGACTGATTTATGTGTTTGGTTTACGTTCGTCGTCGTCGCACACGCCACCACCCGCCGTCGTGTGCGCGTGAGGCTGTCCCACGCCCTAGGGAGTCTTCTAGAATGGTCCAGGTGGACAAAATCGGCCCAACCCATTCTGAATTGGGTCTGTCTGACCCGATCGAGTAACTCGAACTGAGTCAACTCGTCTGAGTCAACTCATTTGAGTCAACTCGTCTGTGTCAACTCGTCTGAGTCAACCTGTTGACTTTGACCGCTGACTTTGACCGAAAAGTAAATTTTTTTGAAAAGTCGTATTTTATGTTTTTCAAATTCCTAAATCTAATTCTGAAGTCCGTTTGCCAAATTCACACTCGATAAGCCATTTATCAGTGTTTTATTTTTGGACTCAATTTGGTTTTTCGATTAAGTTTAGTTTCTTACGTAAATTCATTTGCTCTGTATCCAAAAAATTATTGGAAATTGGATTCAAGTTTGAGAGTGATCGAATGGAGTTTAAAAGTTCGATCGGTGGAGCCCAGAAATCGAGGTAATACTTTACTACCTCTTTGCATATTTTATGGAACATGTTGATAATGGATAAATGCATGGATGTATATGATTGGTTTATTATGCATGTTTAGTTATGGATGGACTCGAACCATATATGGTTAAAGTGATAAATTGGTTATTACTCGATTGAATTACATAAAGGAATTGGAAGACTGATAAGAAATGATTTCAAGTTAAGCAAATAACCTCAGAATCTCTAAATTATATTTATCCTCGTTAAAAACCTCAGAATCTCTAAATTCTATTTATCCTCATTAAAAACTTTAATATCGAAACTACCTTATTATGAATTACAGAATTGCCCCTGAAGTGTAAAATGACCAAAATACCCTTTAAGTGTAAAATGATTATATTATATGACCAAGTTGAACTAAATGGAAGTATTGTATGTATCTGAATTATGGAAACGACTGAATTACTATTAAAACTCTGAAGTGATCGGGATAAACTTGACTACTAAATGACCTAAGTACCTTCAATGACATAGAATTAAGCGAATGACTTGGAAAAGTCTGGAAACACTGATGAACTTATATATTATATAGTCCATAAGGTTTTTGAACTACGAATCCGTCACATCAACATTTTCGGATACCATTGCAACTCAGAAATTAAATAAATACCTTTAGAATACATGTTCGTCTCCCTAAGGTCCATTCAACGATGATTCTGATATTGATCAGTTCAGCGAGTGCAATCAGTGTTAAGAAGTGAATAACATATAAGTATCACGGTCCAAATGATTGACAAGTATCGTAGTGTTGGGATCTGTAGTTCAATTGGACTCGTAATCCTGATAATTCAATATATAATCTTGAATACCACAAATCATCACTCTACTCTTATTAGATTAAATTACTAAGAATTCTCCAAGAACCAAATGTATAAAATGCCCCTAATTTCCTGAATAATGGAATCGCTCCTATCATACCTGAAATCTCAAATAACTCTGAACGGATATATCTGACAAATTACCAGAAAATGTACATATGTTTGGATTCAAAAGAATTTATTGAAATGTCATCGAGCTGCGAAATATCAAAATAACTCTGATAATCAAATGACTGAAATACCCATAAACCCCAAAAAAGAATTGGAATATCATGAACTCTAAGATGATTGAAGTAACCTCGAGTGTGGAAGTGACCCAAATATCCTAACAACTTGAAATAAGTGAAGGTCTTTGAATAAATTCTAGAAACACCAACAAACTTATGTTGTATCATGTCTAAAGATTATGGAGCATAACTCAAGTGTGCTGAGTATTCTTGATATTGATAAATCCCATAAATGTATAATACCATCAAACACATGATTGTCTCCTCTAGTTCCGTTCAGTGGTGATTCTGAAAGTGACCAATTCAACCAGTGTAATCAATATTAATAAGTGATTATTCGTGAAGTATATCAGTCCGGAATATTGAAAATTTTTACAGGGTGAAGATCGGTTAGTACGATTTGAATCGAGATCATGATAATTCAATATAAATTTGGGATAATGCAAACTACCATTCTACCCTTATCGGATTAAGTTACTAAGAATCCATCAGAAATTAAAATGTCTGGAATACTCTTATTTGCCTGAATAATGAGAACACTCATGTTATATCTAGTCTTCAATGACTCTGATGTAAAAGAATTATGAAAAGTGTATGATCTTGATAAATCACTTACCGAATGAATGATGAATCAGTTAGCTATCAAACCCCCATTTTATAGGGATCTTGATTATGAAATCCCATTAAATTACAAAAGTTTCATGGTCCCTTACCTGATAAATACCAAGTACCTCCGAAGAATAGTTGGATCCTCTAGCATGTTTCCTTATGTGACATGTAAATGTTTTACCTGTTTTAAAACATGATTTTCTGGAATTACGGATTTACTAATGTTTTGATTTAGTTTTAAATTAACTATGGTTACATGATATGTGTTCTCTGATTACATGTATTCACTGGAAAATATAAATGTTCATGAATTATGGATCATGGGATCTATTGATTACTACTTAAACTGTTTTATTGAGACATTATCTGGGTAGGCTGGAGTATGGAGGTTCAGCTCTAATCAAGCTGGTAATTCCTTAGAGACCTAAGGTGACCCTTGAGTATGCTTCGAGGCCCCGAGAAACTTTATTGGGTAGGCTCTCAGGCCCCAAGACACTCTCTTGAATAATCATGAGACTGCATATGGTGTACGGGTAGAGGGTAGTTATGTGGTTTATTTCATTGTCACTCATATGAGATTTTACTGGATCACGATCTGGTGAATCTAAAAGCATTCGACTTCCACTCAATTACCAGATACCTGAGTGGGTATATTTTATTCAATCCGATTCTGAGTTCGTCACGTTGAAACCATGAAGGAGAAAGCTCGCATTGATAACTTTTTCAAATTATTTTTTTATTTTTATTTTTAAAGTTTTATTGAGTGTTAAAATTATACACTTATTAATCAAATTTCCTATTTCTATGCATACGTGTTTTTTTTTCTTTTGCATAATTTTAAATGATAAATAATAAAAGGATGTGTGCCGATTGAGTGTTTAGTGCAGTGATAGAGTATATTGTAATTTTAAGGAGAAAAATAATAACGTTTAAATCTTAAAAACGATATTATTGATAAAAGCGATTATGATTTTCGGATATAAATATAATAAATGAAAAAGTTCAAAAGTATTAAATATTTGATGAGATATCATCATTTGATTTTCATGTTCGTGTATATTACATATTAAAAGAATAATAGGACATCCCTAAGAGTCTGCTACATGTTTGATGCATGCATGCAGTCTATATAATACAATTACATTAGACAAAGAAAGACATGTTTTATACAAGTTGGAAAACATGGATGGCAACCTTCACTGTCATCGGAATCCAATGAAATCTTTACACTTCTAGTTTTAGTATATGTAATTTTATCTTATTTCCTAAAGGGTTAATTACCTAATTCATACATAAAGTATACCCAATTTTCAGTTTCATACATAATATTTAAAAATTCTCGATTTCATACATGGTGTTTTCTACTACTAACGGGTTCACCCATTTACGTCACGAAAGGTGACATAGAACCCTGACAAAATGCCATGTGGCACTTAAAAATATTTTTAATTAAAAATATTTTTTAAGTGCCATGTCACCTTTCCTGACGGAAATGGATGAACCCGTTAACGGTAAAAAATATCATGTAAAAAATCGTGAATTTTTAAACATTATGTATGAAACTGAGAATTGGGTATAGTTCATGTATGAATGAGGTAATTAACCCTTTCCTAAATTTTGAGTCTTATATGATTGAGTTGTTAGAATTTTGTAATTTGAAATCTATTTGATTTAGTATGAAAACTTTATGGTATAATTTACTTGTCAAAGAAATAAAATAAGAAGAAAGTTTAAGATTATAAGACATTGTCGTATATATTAAATTCATATAAGATTATATTTCTTTTATTAAACATTGATTATGAATATAAAATCTAATTTAAGTGGACTTACGATACAGTTTTTTTTAATCAAATAGTTATCCTTACAAATATATAGTAGGGATTAAGCTAAGAATAAATTGGTAGAGCCAAGCATAATTGCATTTGCATACCCTTTGCATTCTTTTTAATTTTGACACTAGTAAAATTTCTTTTTCTTTTTGGCTATAATTTTTTTTAAAACCAAAATCATATAAATCTTAATATCTCCATATATTTTCTCTATTGTTTTCTAACGTCATTAGCTTTGTATATTAACATTCTTTCATGCCGTTGAAAAATCCATATACCCAGCAGAGATGAAATCACCATGTTATCCGTTATCTCGATCAATAATATTTTTTCATCTCATATTTTTTTAAGATGAATCTTCACCTTTTTCCTATGTGTAAATAAAGAGTGGACATTTATTTTAAAATTAATGGATGTAATTCACTGGAACTATGAATGGCGTGGAGAGCCGGGTCCATAAAATAATTTATCCTTGAGCAAAGATAAAATCAAAATTTATATTAAGGAGTAGGACGAATTTATTAACATTTAAAGGTAAAGTGTAATTTTCTTATTAATTAATAATTAGGTAGTTTCTTAAGGAAAGGAAGGGTGCGGGAGAAGGGGGATTTTCCAATCATTTTCACATTCTAATGATTGTACGTTTGCCTTGTCTCCATTCTTTTTGGCCAAAGATTTTATGCATCATTTTTCTTCACCACATCTTTTAGATTAACAATCAATTATTAAATATTATTATTATTAAAACCCAATTGCCCAATCACCCATCTTCGTTAGCATTAGCTACCTCTACATATACTCTTCACTGCCTTTGTAAAATCCTTGGTTATATCTGAAAAAAAGAAAAGTCTTCGTTTGAATATGGGAGACTCGGACACTCCAGGCCCTTCTTCTTCCTTTTCTTCAAAGTCGAATTTGCCTATGCTGTACTACGGCCTCGTAGTTGTCGGAACGGCCACTATCGTGCTGGCTATATACAACCTTATCATCATCCGATGGTGCACGCAGCGCCATGATGCCTCCAACCGGAGAGTCCGGCTTGAGGAAATGGCTGCTGGAAGGAGTTTCGAAAACCAGAGCAGGAACTTGCTGTCAAGCTTCAAGTACAAGAAAGGAAGCGGCAATATGGGGTCGGAAGACATGAGTGGAGAATACGAATGTGTGGTTTGTTTATCAGTTTTCGAAGATGGAGACGAAGTGAGGCAGCTACCGAGGTGCAAGCATTCATTCCATGCCCCTTGCATAGATATGTGGCTCTGTTATCACTATGATTGCCCCTTGTGTCGTGCCTCGGTGGATCCCGATCCGTCTCCGATGTGTCAACGACAAACGGTTAATTCAAGGGAAGGTTTTCCAGGCATCCCTGTCCTGGTTTGAGTTCTCCAATTTTGTTTGATTTTCTTTCTTCCTTTTTGCTCTCTTACTAGGTTGAGAAAGCCAGCTAGCTGCCCATGTGGATACAGTGCAACTCATTTTAGAGCTCTAACTGGGGCCATGAAATATAGCTGCCTGGCCATGTCCCTTCCCATTTTGTACATATCCATATAATCCGATAATCATGAGTCGGACACGAGCGTCAGATATTTCAAGAAAAAATGAAGAGTCCAACCGACAATGACACGAAATAAAAATCCCATCGAAAAGCCAAAAAGATTTCAGCCACCTCTCTTAGTTTTTTTTTCCTGCTATGGTGGGTGCTACAATGTGCTGCAATGATCGGAAGTACTGTTAAGTCAAAACCTGAACCGAAACAAGCTTAATACAAAAAGAAATGCAGGTCCAATTATACCAGACAAGGTGACCGGCACATGAGAATACTAGCGCAATCTCCTCCGGCAAAACAGACTCGACATTTAATATTGATGATGCATTTAACTTCAAAATAAGAAGAAAGCATTATATCTAGCAATCTCAGATTTCAACACTGGTGAGGCAGTGGCACATGCGTCCAAATAGAATGAATTCATCATATAGCCTATTTACTGCTAAAGCATGCAGAAATCCACATAATGTAATTTATTATAGCTTCCGTGTATTTCCAAATCCTGACTCGATAAACTCTGGCACGGGTTTCCGAAATGTTATAATCCAAATGTATTTTCGCCTTCCACTGTGGAGGGAATTGTTTATATATTATACAAAAGAGAAATAAGGCATACTTACTACATCCTTATCAAATTGTCTAGCCTTGCCTGTAAGTCGCTATCTATCCCACCGTCATCGTTCCCAGTTGGTTCTGCCTGCGCAGCAACCTTGCCCTTTGAAGCTGGTGCCGCAACAGCAGATGATGGTGCATTGACGAGCTGTGAATCGGATAAGGATAAGCAGAGTTAGTACATCGTAATTAAATATTTATGGTGAGAAAGGTAAACTATTAAAGCTATGTGCAAGAGATGGTGAAAAATTTTACCTCTTGATTGATATCAATTCCAATCTCATCAAGAACTTGGTTCACAAGTTATTTGGTTTCCTCTTCAATCAATTTCTATCTCTCTGATAGGTTTCTCCAACATCCTCTTATTTTCCCGCAGAAGCTCTGAAACCAAAAACCATAAATACTTTCAGATATTACTCAACATCTCAATATGAAATCGACGACAGACACCATCTAAATTCACAGCCTAAATACCTCCGTGGCACAGAAACTACAGAAAACATCAAGGCCATTTAACCGACACCATACAATGCATGACATACCTATTCTTTTAGCTTGCCTCTTTTAACACGACACGGAATTTACACATTACCATGCAAACAATTGTTCTTATTATCTAAAACTAAAGCAATAACAAATAGCACAAAACATTTTGCATTTAATACCATAATTCACAATCAAATTCTAAACGAACATAATATTAGCAGTACATATCGAAATTTTGAATTATAATAGAAACAATTAGTCAATCTCCACACATAATCAGCAGAATAAAATCAACTCCTAGTTTAATCACATATATTATCCAATTACTAGAAACATTACAAAATCCAAACGAACTTCCTAAATCTTTTTTCGACATTAATAAAAAATTGAAACAAATATGAACAAACAACCATTTAATCATTCAATAATTTTCAATACGCCATAAAATGCAACACCACCTATTCTTTTAGTTTACAACTTCCGAGAAACTACATGGAATTTACACATTATCATTCAATAATTTGAAAAGAAAAATACCCATTGAAATTTGGCACAAATATGAACAAAAAGTGACAAATGATCGATCTTATTATCCGAAACAAAACCAAATAAACAAATAGCGAATATTCTTCTAAAATTAACACAATTTTAGCATACCACATCGAAATTATGAATTATAAAAAAAGAGTCGATTTCTACAACAAAACTGCTTTTTGAATCATGCATATTATCCAATTACTAAAACCCTTTTCTAGGTTCACTTTACAAAACTCAAACCGTAACGATCTAAACGAGAATCGAAGACCCTTTTCGCCATTAATGAAAACTTTAATGATTAAGTAAAAAAAGAAGCAAAAACAGATACCTGCGGGAGTTTTTCTCTTGCCAAAGAGGAAGCTCATGTTTGATCGATACTAAAGAAAAAAACTGGCTGAAAATGAATCGGTGGATGCTTCGAAGGATCCGATCTGCTGTAAAAAAAAAAAAAAAGAGGCGTGTTTTTAAGGTTGGAATTTGGGAAGGATATTGCCTCTTCAAGGTGGTTTTATCGCTGGGCAGCGAATCGAATACCGACTTTCGTTTTTGGTCTTTTACGCGGTATCGTTATAGTGGTTAAGGAATGGGGAATTTAGAATAATGAATGGTAAAAAGTCCTTTCTAGGTCTCCCTTAATTTGGAAATTGGACAAATTGATCCCTATTAAAAAAAAAAGGAAAGCTTAATGAAAAATAAATATTCAAATTATACTATTTGTTAATAATAAATGTCTAAAGAATTTTTTTCTCAAAATAAATGTTTAATATTTTTCCATTACACTTTTAGGTATTTATAATGTAACGACGATCAAAATTCTACTGATAATTGATACATATCGCTCTCATATTTTGTTAATTTTTTTAAAATAAAATAATTATTATTTAAAAATCATATATTTTCTTAATTTTCTCAAATAGAAGAAATAAGAAGAAGAAATGTTATTGATTTATGATGATTTGCAATCAATTTGTTGTGATTTTTTATCGACAATGGATTTAAGGGTGACAACAAGGGGATTAGCCAGCAATGGAGTCTGATGATGACCAATGGATATGCGGTCACGACAGGAACTGATAAAAGAGGTGAATAGTTTGGGTTTAGGAATCTTAAAGGTAATTTTGATATTTTTGAAATATTAGTGTTTTTTAAAATATTAATTTTATTTTTTTAAAAAGATAAAAAGTTCAAAAATTTACGAGAGCGGTCCAAGTCATTTAACGGTGGGATTTAAAGGCTTTACGACGTAAACACCTAAAATTGTAATGGAGATAACGTTAAAGACTTTAAGCGAAAAAATCTTAAAATATCTAAAGTTAACTTTGGGTATAGTCTGAACATCTATTTTTACATTGTGTCAAAGAAGAATAATGTAGTTATGTTAATTTTAGAAGTTAAGTAATTAAGGATAATTAATCATGATATTAATATTTATTTTAAAAAATTTCACTTCAATTTAGTAATAATTATAAAAGAAATTCAACAACGTAGTTATCAATTTTTATGTAATATGTAAATAATGTTTTGATTTTTTATAGTTAGAGTTAAATTGATGTAATGTATAAATGTTGAAAGATAAATATATTATTATATCAATGAAAATATGTAAAATTAACTGATAAATTGAAGTGGTGTGATTAATTAGCCTAGTTCATTTTTTTATATTTGTTTTTGGCGTTGGCGGAACTTACGACCACTTTGATGGAGATCAGAGGAAAGCGTGGATCAAACACACTTGTTGATCTTGGAATGAATAATCTGAAAATTTTAAAAACAACAGCTCTAACTCCATAAAAATATGATCCATCAGTCACTCTGATCTTTTTGTTTCCTGCACAAGGTTGATAGGTAATGGCGGATCCACGTTTATTTTAAGGTGAGCAAATGCCGGAATTACACCGTCATTATCATTCGACCTTGCAGAAGACGAACTCATATATGTGATCCTAAACAATACCATGGGATTATAAGGAGGCTTGAGACGCAAAGCAAACTTATCGAAACTCGAAAGGTACGAGATCAAATAATAATTTTTATAAATAAAGAGGAGCTTTTTGTGAGAATTTCTAATTTTATTCGTATAAAGTTTACAAATATGTCAAAATATTTATAAAGAGGAATTGTAACTACTCAGACAAAAATTACATACCGTTAAATCATAATATTTGTGAGGAACGTTTTTAGGTTATTTGTGTAAAAAGATTAAATTATAATGTTATTAATGAATGATTTGTATCTTTATCAGATGATAATTATAGAGTAAAATATTTGAATCACGTTCAATATTATTTCTGATGGACATTATATGTTAAAATTGAATTAAATGCAGCCATACCTTCATGCTCTCAATAGGGTCAGGGGATGGGGTGGACGCTTTCTTAGCAAAAAGCTCCAACAACCTGAGTGATTATTTTAGTTAATATTTTACTTTTAAATTACTTCTTAATCATTGATTTTTGTGGCTTATTTGTTCATTTTAATTCATTTTATATACAGAACGTAAGATTTTGAAAATTGTACAAAAATGACACAATTCTGTAGATTTTTATTTTCGGAATCAAAGTTGGATGGAATTTGGATTTGGATTAAACTCAAGTTTAAGATAATATTTTAAACATTATATTTTATCTTTGTATTTTAGTTTAAATAGGTTTTTAGTATTTTAATTAAGTTTTAGGATATTATTTTTATATTTTATATTTGTTTTATGTATTTTAGTTTAAATAGGTTTTAGTATTTTAATTAGGATTTAGGATATTATTTTTATATTATATTATTTTTTTAGGTATTTTAATTTAAATAGTTTTAAGTGTTTTAATTAGGATTTAAGATGTTTAGTTTGTTTTTAGGAATTTGAAGGCTATAAATACCCTCTAAAGGTGAGCCTAAAAATATATCTCTCTCATTTGAGAATAAAATCTTCTTTTTTCTCTCTAGCTTTCTCTCTATTTTTCGCATACTTTTCTATTAGGCTAAGTATGACTTTGGTTATGTGTAGCTAATTTTCTTTCAAGCCGAAGACTAAAGTGAATGCTCAATTCCAAACGTAAGAATTGTAAGATACTTAAATCGCTTCAGATTTTCTCTCTGTTTTATGAGTTTACTTTTCAAATCAAAACGATTTCGACATTGGTTCGTATAGTGTTCTGGTTAACGTTTGAAGAAGGATTTGTTTATTGAAACATATTCAACTTCCCGAGAACACACTTAGCAAAATTGTTTCCTAAGAGGAAACTGAGATTGGAATCAGTTGTTATTGAAACGACACAATCCGAGTTGGCAGCAAAGAATTGTCCTTGTAAGCTGACGTGAATCTTGAAGTAAAATCAATTTTGATGATCCGAAGAATTTGAGGCGAAGCTGAAGTCTGAGAATGCTTTCACAATAAGTTTCTCTTTATCTCAATATCTTTAATTTGTTTATTTAATTATTTTTCTTTTATTTAATTCTTATGTTTTATTTTAAAAACAACTTTCAAAAATCCACATTTTATATTTATTACTATTAATATTTATTATTATATTATTTTTCCTTTTTTTATTATTTAATTTATTGTATTATACCTTTTCAACCTCATCTGGAATTCTATATTCTTCTAAAATCAAGAAAGAGTTTTATTAAATCAGAAACACCACAGTCCATGTAGATCGACTATGTTTCTCTATACTACCTTTTAATTTTTATTTATTAAGAAGTCAGCAATTATTTTGATAGTAAAACGACTGTTATCATTGAGCCAACCTCCTAAAAGTCTCATTGCATCTTAGGTATCAGCTGCTTAGATCGGAAGAGTAAAAGTGTATCGGAACTCAAGGGTGTTCACTAGCACACGGTGGAATATGGCGGTTCAAGTCTGACATTTCGAGGTTCTCCAACAACGGTGGTGATTTCCAGCAGCCAAAACAGGTATCTTTGTTCACCTCTTCTCATGTGAACGATACGTGCAATGGATCGAAAAACTGCACTTCGGCTTTCCCGTTATAACAACGAAGAAGACGACTTTCGAGAAGTTGGCAACTCATCCTTGGCTTTTTTCATCTGTTGTCATTTTCTTTTTTATACATGTTGGCTGAAACTGTCTAATATAGATTGTAAATTGTCCTTAATTCTCTTCCATGGTTTTTTCTTTACTCATTGCAAGTGTTGGATTATGTTATGACATGTTAGATTTTCTTGTTTGGCATAGACTCGTTCGATCCAAAAAAAATCTAATTTAAGTTCCTATAGTTTAATTATAATTTTTCTATTTTTTAAATAAAATTAAATTTTTAAAAATTGAAAAAAAAAATTATGCTAACTGCTAAGCAGTAGAATTCGACTTTTTTCCCGTATAATACAAAAAGACAAAAAGGAAAGCGAAGGCAACAATATCAAACTATTGTCCTAAAGGAAAATTGACAACAATAAAATGCAACTCTTGTAGTTCTTTTAACATCTCCATTCATTAATCCACTAATTTGAATAAATTTTATAAAGAACTACAATATAAACAGAATCTCCCAATTATTATAGTTAATAACACACAAAAATGAAATAAATAAAGCCAAGCCCAATAAAAGAAAACTAAGGAGCCCCTTGCCCCCCGAAAGATATTAAAGAAAAATTATAAAAAGAAAACCGGAAAGACCAAAATGCCCTTTTTGGGCAGAAGACCAACCTATTCCTGTATTGCACATTATCACACAAAAATGGTGATAATGGCTTCTTGAAGAAATACCCCATGTTTTTGGAACATGGAGAAAAGAATAAATAGTATGATGTAGTTTATATGCACAAATGATAATCATTCTGAAAGTGGAAGTAGGAAACCGAACCCAGAATTTTCACGGATCAATGATGGAGGCTCGACATCGGCTTTGTCGACTTGCTGCAGGGACTTGGAGATGTCGTCCTCAGTAAACGGAATGCTGTATTGACAATATGAATTGCACATGCATAAATCATAAAGCGTGTATGGGGTTTTAGTGCTTTTCTTCACGAAACTAAAGGGGGTACTAACTAACCTCGAGTCATCGTCTAATAGGAAAGAACTACTAACGGCATTGTTCGAGTCTTCAGTCATCATGACTCTCATTTTTGCAATGACCTGTTCAACGAAGAGTTTGTCGATAAATTTCGCAGGCTTAGTATTGCACCGGCCGGATTATGGTAACGTTACGGATTTTGGTAGTTTGAACTTACATCTGATGACACACTATGTGTTCCATATTTGTCATCCCAGTACATTGTGCTGATTCGGTACAACTGTTGTATGCTTAGTACCTGAAGAAACGACAACACGAGAAAGAACGTCGAAGGTTTAACGAATGAAAAATGTTAAAGGGAGTGAGGAATCTGAAAGAGAAGGGATGTGTACCGGGCAAAGCTCTTTAGTGATTTCATCCAAGGTCTTTTTCAGTTTCTGATGAATAACCTGAGTAGCAGAGAAACGGTTCAGACAGTAAGTCATACAAGATCGTT